AAACCCTAAACCCTAAACCCTAAACTCTAATCCCAGTGTAGGCTGAGTCTCCACAAACCCCAGGGGCCAAACCCTCGGGGATTCCGAGCTTGGCGCCTGCGGCCCAGATGCTTTGCTGGATGCTCGTTTGAGGGTTTAGGGTTTAGGGTTTAGGGTTTAGGGTTTGTGCAGCCTTCTTAACGGAGACCCGTTTGACCCGGAGGCGATTCGCATCGCATGCAATGCAACGCTCTCTGCGCGTGAGCTGCTGCTGCCATATCTGCTGTTGCTGCTGCTGCTGCTGCTGCTGCTGGCCATTGTTTGCTGGATAACGTGGTAGCTCGTGCTGCTGCTGCCCACTCTGTTGCTGCGTATCTGCTGTTGCTGCTGCGGCTGCTGCAGCACGGGACAATAGACTTCATACAGCTGCTGCTGCTCTCGCAGGCTGAAGGTAGACGGAGCTGCAGCCAAATTGCTGCCTTGGAGTGCTTGATGGTTAGCTATTGCTGCTGCTGCTGCTGCTGCTGCTGGCCATTGTTTGCTGGATAACGTGGTAGCTCGTGCTGCTGCTGCCCACTCTGTTGCTGCGTATCTGCTGTTGCTGCTGCGGCTGCTGCAGCACGGGACAATAGACTTCATATTTGGGGAGTTTAGTGCTGCAGCTAAGTCTACTTCGTAAGGCAAGCGCAGCAGCAGCAGCAGCAGCAGCAGCGGTGTTGTGAACAGCAGCAGGAGAAGGGTCAGCTGCTGCTGCGCTGCTGCTGCTGCGCTGCTGCTGCTTGTGCTGCAGTCGGGAGATTCGAGAGGGCAGCGAGTCTTTGGAGCTGCTGCTGCTGTATGCTGCAGCAGCAGAAAGAGAGTTGGAGCAGCTGCAAGTACAGGGAGGGAATCCTGCTGTTACAACCCTAGAGGTGCTGTATCCGTGGTAGGCGGGCTGCTGCTGCAGCTGCTGCTGCTGCTGCTGCTGCTGCAGTTACGGAGAAGGCCGCTCAGATCGCCGTTTCGTTGCGTGGGCACCTCGCTGCTGCTGCTGCTGCTGCTGCTGTGCAGCTGCAGCGACGTTTTGCTGCTAGCCGCTCGGGCCTACATGGAGGAGCGACGCAAAAGCAGCTCTGAGCTGCAGCAGCGGGAGTCCGGAGCAGCTGCTGCAATGTACATACACCGGGCTTTGTAAGCAGACCCGCCATGTTCCGCTGCTGCTGCTGCTGCTGCTGCTGCACTTGGGTGGCGGTTGGTCTGGTGTGCTGCTGCTGGTCTAAATGCTGCTGCTGCGGGCATCATGGAAGCGCAGCTGCTGCTGCGGCTGTTGAGGACAGCGCGTCTGCTGCTGCTGCTGCCGTTGCTGCTGTGCTGCTGCTGCTGCAGGGAGCTACGTCCAGGCTGCCCGCTGCTGCTAAACGAGTTGGGGGCAGTGGCGGCGGAAGCAAAGGAGTCCGTATCCGCGTTGCTGCTGCTGCTGCTGCTGCTGCTGCTGCGGTTGCGCAGATTCAGCCGATTTGCTGCTGCCGTAGGATGTGCCCTGCTGCTTTCTCTAGCTTGAAGTGCGCTGCGCATGTATGTACTTTAATTTTGCTGCTGCTGCTGCTGCTGCCGTTTCAGCTTCAGGGGCGCGTTGCATTGGCTGGAGAAGGCGGTGTCTGCTGCTGCTGCTGCTGCTGCTGCTGCTGCTGCACCCGGCGACTGCCCAGAGCTGCCGCACTACTTGAGCAACCTGGCAGTCTGCCGGCTGCGGGCGGGCTGCCAGGAAGCTGCTGCTGCTGCTGCTGCTGCTGCGCTGCAAGCAGCAACAAAGCTGGCGCTGCTCGCGGCCTGCCCTGTGGCGCCCGGCGGCGCTGCAGCTGCCTACGATTCGCTGTACGAGCTGCAGCAGCTGCGCTGCAGCAGCAGCAGCAGCAGCAGGATGGGGTCTGCTGCTGCTGTTGCTGACGCCGCTGCAGCCGCTGCCACCGGCAGCAGCCTGCGGCACTGCTTTGCTGCTGCAGATGCTGCTGTGCTGCTTGCTGCTGCTACAGCCTATACTGTCCTAGGCGCAGTAAATCTGCAGAGTGGCAGAAGCGAAGCTGCAGTTACTCCCTTCGCCAACGTACGTGCTGCTGCTGCTGCTGCCGTTGCTGCTGTTCTGCATGCTGCTGTTATGGTTGCTGCTGCGGGCCTGCGCGGCGCCTGAATGTTCGGTGCATTTGCTTCACCTGTGCAGCAGCAGCTGCTGCTGCACAGGTGAACCGTGCTGCAGTGCCACCCGTTGGAGCGTCGCTTAACTGTGGTTTGCACTTGCTGCTGCTGCTGCTGCTACTGCAGGCAGCAAGCCTGACTCTGGCGTATGAGTCTCGGATCAGCAGCCGCAGCAGGAATGGGCTACGTCGATTTCAGGCAGCAGCAGCAGCAGCAGCAACTGAAACACCGACGCAGCAGCAAAGCTTGCGGGTGCGCCTGCTGGAACGCCTCCACACGCTGTCGATGGAAGCAACAGCAGCAGCAGCAGAGCCAGCAGCAGCAGCAGCAATAACAGCAGCAGAAAGCAAGATCATCCTGGGTGGCCCCCTCACAAGGCCCCCGCCTCGGGCATGGCTAGAGCAGCAGCAACGGCCGCTGCTGCTGCGGCAGCTGCTGGAGCAGCAGCAGCAGCAGCACCAGTCAGAGCAGCAGGCCCAAGAACTCGAGCAGCAGCTGCTGCAGCGCCAGAGGCATCTGCAGCAAAGGCTGCAGCAGCTCAGTGAAGAGGAGACAACTGAGTGGCTAGCGCTGGTGCAGCTGCAGCAGCAGCAAGCGAGAGACAAACTAGCTGTGCTGGCAGCAGCGCTAAGCAGCAGCAGCAGCAGCAACAGCAAACGAAGCAGAGCAGACGAATTTAAAAGTCATTGAGGGCTGAGCGCGTCATTCGAGTTGCAGCAGCAGCAGAAGTTGCTGCAGCTGCTGCAAAAGCAGCAGCAGCAGCGGCTGCTGTTGTTTCAAAGGAAAGCACTCTGCTCTGCAGCAGCACAGCAGCAGCTGCTACCTGCTGCAGCAGCAACATCGGCAGCACCTGCTGCTGCCCAGCGCGAACACAGCCATCGCGGCAGCAGCCGCAGCGGCTCCTGCGGCTTTTGCTGCTGCTTTAGCAGCAGCAGGAGCTGCCGCTGCTGCTGCTGCTACGCCTTATACTGCAGCTGCCTGCATCGCCCGGCTTTCTGCCTCTGCGTAATCCTTTGGGTCGACTTTGCGCAGCGTGACGATTCTGCATGCAAAAGGAAGCAAAAGAGGACCCCAGGCGAGCTGCAGCAGCAGCAGCAGCAGCTGCTGCTGCTGCAGCAGCAGCAGCAAGGCGAGCGTGTAGCCCAGCCCGGGGCAAGACTTACGGCTGCAGAGCCTCTGCAACAGCAGTCAGTGCTGCTTCTGCCGCAGCAATTGCTGCTTCGCTGCTGCGGCGTGCATGCAGCTCGACGAGCCAGCAGCTGTTGTCGCCCCACAGCGGCCGCTGGTGGGCCCGGTCCTGCAGCAGCAGCAGCAGCACGAGCAGCAGCAGCAGCAGCAGCTGCACTTGCCGTGCTTGCAGCAGGCAAAAACGCGAGAAGAAGCAGGCAGCAGCGGCAGCAAGCGCAGCACGGGTCCCGACAGCAGCCGCAGCAGCACCGACACCAGCAGCAGCAGCAACAGCAGCAGCAGCAGCAGCGCACGAGGAAGTGCTGCTGCAGCAGCAGCACAACGTGTCTGCCTGTCTTTGGCTTGAAGTGGAAAACGTCGGCCTTCACGTGGACAGAGCCGACCCGCCTAAAAGCCCAGAAGCAAAATAAATAAATAAATAAATAAATAAATAAAATAATTAAATTAAATAAATAAAGTAATTAAATTATTAAAATGAATAAATAAGTGGTTTTATTTGTTTTGTTCACGCAAATTCGCCTTCAGTGCATGCGCAGGCAAAAGAATTAACGAAA